TTTTGGCCTCCGTGTTTTCGACCAGTCAGCTAACTTTACAGATCTACAATGGCAATAGTGAGAAGTTGGTCAACGACGCGTGTGAATGTTGGAAACAGGAGTCCGCCTGTGATGAATTACCATTGAATTTAGCGCGTGTTCATCAGTGCGTATGGGATAATGCTGTGATACAGAAAAACGTTGATGCCTTGTGGAAAAATGTTGGTAACGAAAAGCGAGTTGAAGCGCGCTTGAGAGCAGTCAGCACAAAATACGCCGGGGCCTGGCTTAATGCTCTTCCCGCAAAGGTATTCGGCAATTTCCTGGATGATCAGACTTTTCGTATTTCGGTTGGACTGTGGCTTGGCGCTAAGATCGTAGAACCTCACTCATGCGTCAGATGTGGAAAAGACGTAACGGAGAATGGATACCACGGACTAGCCTGCCAAAAGGGTGTTGGTAGAAGGGAACGGCATAACGGTATAAACGATATTGTACTGCGAACCTTGTGTAATGCCGGCATTGAATCGTATCCTGAGCCCGTGGGATTTTTGCGAGAAAACGGAAAGCGACCGGACGGAGCTACGCGATGGAAATGGTACCGCGGACAACCGTTAGTTTGGGACGTGACATGCAGAGACACGATGGCGGACTCCTATATCGACGCAACCTCCAAGTGTGCGGGCGCCGCTGCTGAACTGGCATTCACCGTCAAGATGGGGAAGTACAAATCGATTACTGATCGCTGTTATTTTGTCCCCATTACATGCGAAACTTTTGGCACTTATTCTGACGACTCAATTGTTTTGTTAAAGGAGTCATTATTTAGAATATAACCGTGAAATGTCAGATTTCATCAGCAAATATACTGCACGCCTGCAATCGAAGGCGATGTTGGCCAGGGCCAGATTGCAATATATGCGCTGTTCCCACAATACGCTTCCGCAAAGTCTGCATTTTGTGCCGGTTATTTTCCGGCGTCCGCTCCGGTATCAGGCCGACAACAGCGGCTTAACCGAAGCGCCGCCACGAAAGCGTATACTCTGCGTAAGTACATGCCATGCAGTATATCCCGGCTAGGGCGTATTGTACTGTACAAATACGCACAATGCTAATCCTGGTTACCCTGGAAAGTCCACGTTTTTTGCCTGTTTTCATTACCGGCATCAGCTGTGCCAAGAAAACAGCGGATCAGCTGAAGCGACGTCAATAAAAGCACTGTGTATGTTAGGTAAGTACAGTACGGTACTGTACAGACATGCAGTACATCCCGGCCCAACGTACGATACGGAAGTATGCACAATATCCATCCTGATTCACCCGGGAAAGTTAAGCCGATTATCCCGGCTATAGGGACGCAGCGAGTTGATGTACATTGGCGCCATGATATTTCAGCAGAAGCGCGAAAATATGCGGCAGTGTTGCCCGGTACAGAGGGAATCTCAAAGGCCGGAAGTGCTCTGTTTAGAGAATGGTAATTCGATCTGTAATTTGTAAATTATCCCGACTTCAGACCGTGCATTAAAATAGGGTATTCCATGAAGACAAATGTGCTCTCATTACCTGATAGATCACTCGGCAACTAATATTAATTAAAACAGCGTTCGTTTATTTGCCTCGTACCCGTAAATACAAAGGTTGATTTTAGTGCTAAGTTCGAACTTTGAAGTCGACCCAGTAACGGCTAATTCGATGCAAAGCGTCTGTTTTATTTCGCCGACGTACAGAGCCGAAACGGCCTTCACACAACCACGACTACAAGAAAACAAGTCAAGTTCTACAAACCTCTGTCTGTCTTTAACTTTAGGATTAAGGAAAACAATGCGAGTGAAGATATTTTTCTCTCTGATGTCCCTAACATTTTTAACGCAAAGAACAAACAGGAGAAGCGCGCGCTGTTCAGTATTTGTGGCAACGTATAAGTGCGGAAATTCAGCGCGGAAACGCGGCTTCTGTCCTGGGGACGGTCGGGTGTTAGAAGAGTTATTTTTTTTGTTCTGATTACTGGGTATTTAAAGTTTGAATGTAAATGGCATTGGCTTGTACAAGTTGATAATAAAGAAACTAGATATTTTTAACGCATCCTCATACACTTTCGATTCGAAAGTGCATGAAACATTCAAAGGCATTTACGTGCGCCATGAGCATGTTGGTGCACGATTGTTCAAACTGTGGGACTTAAGTGACGACCGACAGGCTGAAGGCTTCAGTTTCGTCTCGTGACCTTTCTTTAACAACTGCGTCTCGCGGCTGTTGCAGTTTCTTACCTGGTTCGACATTCCTGCCAATGAAGTTCAGACTTGTGCATGCGGGCACTGCAGTGCACATGCGCACAGAATATTTCAGAGTCATTAATTGCATGGGCTTCAGTGCCGGAGTTAATTTTGCGCTTGTTATGCCGCGTTGCGAAGAGTTTATGGCTGTCAGACAGAAAGTAAAATATAGAGAAATAATTTCTCTACATTCTGGTATGTAGTGAGTCAATTCTAACCTTATAGAACGATTTTAAAATTCGTTTGATGGAAATAGGCTTGTATTGCTGTACGGCATCGTACTGCCAAACGAGGGTGGTGGCAATATAATAGGAGATTTGGGATTTGGATCGTTTTGGTAAAGCTCTCCTTGAAACGCCTGCCTCATCTTTTCTTGGGTACTTTGAATCCCAAATTGTAGAGAAATTAATTTCCTACATTTTGGTATGAAATGAGCAGGTAAAATGGCTCCAGAAAACACAGTAAGAGCGCAAAGGCTTGTGCCGCCACATGCGCCTATGTAAAATCTGACTCTGAAATATCAGCCGCGCAAGTGTCGTACAGGGAATTTGCCAGTCCCGTCTGCACAAGACTAAAGCTCATTTGTCTTCATTCAGACGCCGACTGGCGAGAACGTGTCTCTTGATTACTCCGGTGATTAGCGCTCGTCAACCTACTGTTAATAACGTGCACCAACCGGAAATGGGTTGTATGTACAGAGTACCCTTCCGCACAGACCCGAGCCGATCATCGAATGTTCCATCGCTTACCCTCTGCACAACGGCCTGCTGGAAACGACTCCAGCTCCTCCTAGCGTCACAGAAGGCGTCATAAAAGATGTCAATTAACTCAAATTTCTTGCCGTTTTCTAACAGCACAATCATCGAAATTAATTTATTTTAATTTCAATCGTCGTGCTGTCAGAAAACTCTGTTTGGGAGGCATATACAGAGTAATACCGACCAGCAAACACGGAACAGTAAGAACAGGGAAATAATTTTAATCAAAGGTCATGGTTGTTGATGCCAAATTCCTCAACAGGCAGGCAGGGTAGAACGCCTGATTAAAATCCGAGTGTAACCTATATGAGCGGCTGCATGTACCAAATAAACACACGACGCACAGCTTGTATCCGCTGAAGTCGCGCAGCGCGTTAAAATTTGCCTCAAGGGCTAATGAACAACTGTTGTGAAGAAAAACTACGATCCTTTAATCCCGACAAATTGTTATAAACTTTTTCTTATCGCCACCGGATGACGACTTGCGCGGAATTAACCCTTCGATGGTCCGCTCTTAATGATATCGGATAGCTCGGTTTCTTAATTCTTTCTATGGTTTATAATTTAATCTCAAATAATAACCTCTGCTATTACCTTTTCACTTCCACTTCGCATAGTACTTTAGATTCGCCCTGTTAATTATTTTCGACTTGTGTTTAACGAAAGGAAATTAGTGACTTCTATCTCTCTATCTCTGTTTGTAGTTTATCCCGGGATCCGGCAATTCGCTCTTGATAAAATCAAAATGTCACACATCTCAAATTTCATAATTTGCCAGTCTTGTGATTAACGATAACCTAATAACTTAACTTGTCTAGAGTAGTTGAATTTGCGCTTGCTGAAAAGGGATACTATGTATATGCCGTAGTTCATGGCTGCCAAATATGCAGGTATGAATTTCTCCCTATTATGGCAGTAAAAAAAATCTTTCCTCACTGGGACGCCCACCAACGGCAGTTTAAGGGATTTGGCCCAGTACATAGCACCAAATACGTGTACATCCACGGAAACTTTCGCTGTCGCACACATCCGCACACCTTTTTGCATTGTTTTATGTTAATTTGTAGCCAAAACATTTGTGTAAGTAGGCGTGAAACCGTTTTCGCGCGCAACATCCGGTTGCGGAGTTATCAGGGTAACAAAATTCCAAAAAGTTTAAATGTATTCAGTTGTACCAAAAGTCTCATTATGGACCGATCTCTTTCAAATTTTGCACGTAAATGCACATTACCATGAAGATCGTTCTTACACCGATCCCCATTTCCACGATTTATTTCAAATTTTAAAATGAATTTCAAAATTTTTGAAATTCATTTTAAAATTTGAAAAACATGCTAGAACAGTGGATCGGTGTAAAAACGTTTTTCGTGGTTATGTGGATTTACATGCTAAATTTTAAAGGGATCGGTCCGTTTACCATAACTTTCCAACCGGATGTTGCGCGCGCAAACAGATTTCACCCTCAAGTATACAAATGCTTGGGCTACAAAATACATAGCATAATGCAAAAAAGTGTCGGGGAGTGCGCGACAGCTAAAGTTGCCGTCGATGTACACGAATTTGGTGCTATGTACCAATTTCGCCTGTCCGTCGTTACGCACTAATCTGGCCGTCGGTCACATAAAAATAATAAAATTTAAAATAAATAAATAGAAGTATAAAAAACATTCAGTAGATCAGAAAATTTTAGTATTACAGTGTCTACTGTATGAATTTTAGTATTATACAAAACATATAATACAAGAAGACGGCATTTTTGTCTGTCCATCGCTCAAGCAGTGATCAGTATCATCCAGTCGGTCTCGCACTAAACCACTGAAAATCTAGAACGTAATACTTTTAGTATCATCATGGTGTTATTATAGATAGGTAGCTATGACAGTACTTCATATGTAGAATAAACATCAATTTATAATAAAAAAATGTACAGGTCACGTTTATTGGCATTACCGACATCACCGACTATACCGGTTTTTGAATTCCTTTTTAAAAAGAAAAAAATGGTTCTCAAGCGAAAAGAGATAGGGTCAACAGGGAGGTCAGCAAGGAGCACAAGACAGGATGATTCTGCAGGTGCGATTGTAACTTCCTCCAGTGCAAGTAAACGATGAAGTATAAAAATGCTCGAAGCTTGAAGTCCCAACAAAAGTGCCTTAACGCAGCTAAAAAAGCCGATAGTAAAAATACAGGCGCAGCACGGTGGTGACAGGCTGGCAGTGCGGCAAAAGGCAATCAAGTTCTTATATCATGAATCATCCCCTTAAATTAAATTCGTAATTAGTTATTGTATACCATTTAACATTAACATGAAACGAAGAACAGGCAATTGGTCTGGAGCCGACACTCTGTTTGTCGAGGGGAGGCAGGATTAATGAAATATTTTGCAGTCTGCATGCACTGAGAAATGCCAGTCGTGCTTAGTGGGCAGCCTTCAGACTAGCCAGGCATCTGGTGCCGGTAGAACATGCAGATAGGCCGTTTGCATCAGCCAGACCTCCCGCTGGTAATCCGGCTGCACCCAGCACTCCACCCGCGCCGGTGTCGACGTCTGTAGCTGGACACTGGGAACGACTAGCGTGCTGGCGAAGTTCTCGCCGTCGGTGTCATTGTAGAAGACTGTGTACTCTGCCAGAGTCTCTCCGGCTATCCTGTCCCGCAGCGACGGCGGGACATGCTTGGGGGAAGGGCGCCTCGGCGGGGGCGTGCTCACCGGTCCCACGAAGGGGTGCAGTGCGTGATAAGGGGGCGCGTGCAGCCATTGCGCATTGTACCGCCAGATGAAGTCCATCCGACCATGGAAGACGTCGGTGGGAAAGATCAGCGTGGTGGCGCACCGGAAGCGCGCCTCCCCGAAGCGGAAGACCGTGACGTTGTGCATTAAGGGCGCCAGGAAGATTTCGCTAGCGGTGGGCGTGACATGAAAGCGGAAGTCCTGCAGAGGGCAGAATTTTCGCAAGGGTTCCTTGGCGGCTGGGCAATCCTGCAGGCAGGTCAACATGCCGCGCGATGCCCAGGTGACGTTGCGGATGGTCAGCGTGGCGGAGGCGGCCGCCCAGTCCACGGTTTGCTGGACATCGGCGGAGGCCGTGTAATTAAAATGCAGTCCGTCGCTGCTGAGTGCCGCCAGCATTTTTTGATTGTGCACCCACCTGACGGTTGTTTCATTGGCGTTGCTCCCGTTTGCGTTGGGGAGGATCCGCAGGGGACTGCAGTGGAAGGTCGCCGCACCGCCGGAACTGGCACGGACCACCGGGTAGCTCTCCATGGTGACGGCAGATGCCAGCGTGGCGGGAATGGGCACATGAATCCGGCCTTCGATCGGCTGCCGAGCCGCCTCGCTCATCACCGCGTCCACTAAAGGCAAAGCAACAAGTATTTCTTAAATAAAGCAGGCTACAAAACATTTATGGAGTCAGTTGTCCATATGCAGTAAATTAGGGCAAAAGTAAGTTTCCTATTTGAATTTCCTGCTTTAAACACATGCCGCAGAAACTGCATTAATATTCTAACGTACATCTCTCAGGAAGGACTATACTGTTTTGTAATTTAGGCCTCGTCCCGAATTCGAAGCGAATCTCGTTGCGATACAGCAACTCCACCTCGCGAGGTGGCTTCGCGTACCGTATCTGTAGGCGTGGCCATTGCATACAGCCACCTCGTGTGGTTGAGCAACCGTACCATAGCGAGATTCGCTTTGAAATCGGGACGGGGCCTTAGAAAAAACTATCTTTAATTATGAAGAACTGTCAAAAAGGTTACTGACAACTTCTAACGCCCATCCTCGTGGTTTCCCCGAATGCCTGGTTTCCGCCATTTTCTTTCTTATGCTTGTTCACTTTTCGTGAAGCACAAAATGTTAATAAATTTAGATTTCTAACTTTTCATTATCCGAATTCTCAAATAAAATAACCTATCATATCGCTTCTTTTCGCAAATGCGACGGTGACTGAATATCGAATATAGGCGCCAAAAACCGAAAGCTGTACAGCATAACGAAACGATGCATCTCAACTCCAGTTGCTTCTACGAAGCTTACGACTGGCTGCCCAGGCTAGAAAAGGATGTAAAGGTCACAAAGCAGCTATGATAACGATCACCAGTATCGGTACCGAGAAGCACCAGTTCATTGTGCGACAAGATTGCAGGTATAATTGGTTTAAACTTTCCGTAAGAACGAAAGAAGGACGAAAACTGAAGTCAGGATTAGAAATGTCTGTGCGAATAATGTGTGCAGACAGTGCAGTCAAGATGCGCTCACGGCAAGCTGGTCAATACAGATAGAAGTAGTCACACCACGGTAAACCACTGAATTTTACCAGGGCACAAAGACCGGCTTCCAATCCCGAAAAATCTTCTGATTTTTTGCAGCACAGGCTTTATGTGTAGAATTCGTTTGGCGGGCATTGCAGTAGGCCTTAATTCGCTGTGGACTTTTGCACTGGCGAGAACTTCGGCACGTGCAGCACACGTGACGGTACATACTTTCAAAAATTTATCTAAAATGTGCAAAATGTTCTGGAAATGGCTACTCTCATCACGACTTTTGGATATTCGCACCGCCTTTTCAAAAATATTTTTTACACCACGTTTTGACTATTGCCGCCACCTTTTTACGCCTAATTTTTTCTTCTCTTTCCTCCTTAAAAAATTTTTTTGGTTTATCAGCGGTTGGCCCTACAAAATGGCGGTCTCGGATCGTTCTTGGTTCGTCTCTCATAAATCACTTGTCGAACCGCAATTTTGCGAAAACAGTTCCGCTTTCTTATCAAATAGTTTTCATTCAGTTTATGTGTTACAAAGGTCTTCTGCCTGACAGGCAACAACAGCAACTGCTGGTTCAACTGATAGACATAATTAAGATATTGTGCTAACAAAAACAGGTTTGAATTGGGTACATAATTCAATTCAACTGATAGACATAATTAAGATATTGTGCTAACAAAAACAGGCTTGAATTGAGTCTCCGTCAGTTTCTGAAGATTTAAAAATGGAATTATTTTAGCTTTAGAAAAGCTAGCTAGTGAATTTCACGATAATTCAACGTGGTGGCGTATTAGGTAATTCTCTTTTTTTCGATAAATACGGGAAATGATTACCGCAGGTTTTTGCAAGAAAAAAAAGACAGTCTATCTATAAACTAGCAACCTTCCGACATGTGCGACATGTTCGTATGTAGAAGCCGGTATTATTTGCCGGTATCAATAAGTACTGCGTTTCCGACCGGCAGTGGATCTAATCGTAAGGAAAATGCGCCGCTAACGGCAAAGCTACATATAAAAATCAGTAAATCAAGTCTTTTAGATGGATGTAAACAACTTATTGAAAGTGCAATAAAGAGGTAAGAACAGCCAAAACCGGTGTGCAAAGGGGATGGCAATAGTCAAAAGGAGGTGTAAAAACAATTTTAAAAAACGTGGCGCGAAAAGCCAGAAGGCGGTGTGGAGGGGTGGGAATATATAGCCACACCCAAATGTTTTTTAACAATTAGCAATCAGAAAAACGAATTTTGAAGATTTTCAGCGGTGGCACGGATAATCGCACCCGGATTTAAACTACTTATCTCGGTGCTGGGCAGCTGCCAGAATCCACAGCTAACGGCCCTAAACCATTAACCCGTAAACCTTTTGAGCCGGCCACACTCGCTCACCCTTAATTGCGTCAGCGGAATTCAGTGGTACGAAAAATCCTTAATACGATCCACGAGACGCTCTTGCAAAGGTTTTTTGTTAGGTTATGATGCTGCAGGGATTAGATCTGCTAACGATACCGCGGTCAAGCAAGAAATAACCGCTGCATCCTAGCAAACCCCGCAAATTTTGGAACGGACACAGCAGAAGCCAGAAAGTAACAAAAATTAAGGTCTTGCCATTATGTTGGCAAACAATAAGAAATCCAAAAATCCAAGCGAGGTAGTACGTAATTGCTTCTTCTCGCAGTTGGATATTACACCCGCAACGCCGCCCGTAATCAAAGCTGTGCTCGAGTGACTTTCTTGTATTCTTACAGCAGAAGTACCGTACAGAAAGTTAGGCAAAAGATAGCATGCCCTTTGAGCCCCAAGATCTAATAAAACCGCTATGTGTGCACTCGCTGTACCTTGACAACTGTATCGAATGGTGTCTTTGCCGAGCGAAGCGAATGGAGTAAGTTACTCCGAGTAACCCTTACTCCTTAGTAAGTATCACACTGAAGTACCAACCAAGTACCAAAATAAAATTCATAACAGAAAATAAGCGAATAATTGATGGAAGGTCTTGCTCCTTCCTCTGCATGTATACTATATACTAGTAGCTGTAAATTAATATCACTACCTGTTGTAAGAATATGCCTTAGTTCACAAGAATTTGTTCAAGAAACGCGCATTACTATGGCCTCAGCATGTCTAAATCTCACAGCTGTGGCCACTTTTTATGGTCCTATCTCAGTACATGGTTGCAGACTTGCAGTATCAGCAGTTAGGATTATGTTTATTGATTTTGCCGACCGACTCACAGTGCAGAAACGTAGGATCGCAGCTCTGATGTCCACATCCAAGCATTCCGTTGTGTACTGAGCACGCCAGAACATAAGAAAAATTGGTCGATATCCAGATTATCCCTGCCACGTACGGGTTACGCATTAACACTTTCTAGCCTTCAAGCAAGGGCCGGCGCAGAAGCTCGGACTTGAACTTCCATTTTAACTGCTTAAGTTGTGCTCTGGATTCCTTAACTTGGCTTACTTAGCTTAAATTAGTGGCTAACTAAATTGCTGGTTTCTCAAATTTTTTTGGCTTTTTCTGCCTTTTGTAGAATTATGGATGTGGTGATACATAATAATACAAGAAAGTCACTCGAGTACAGCTTTAACGTTAGCTTAAAAACAGCTTCGGACGCATTCTAAGAAAAGAAGGAAGATCTAATCCAAAACAGAAACAAGCCATATAAACTAAAAAACCACAAAGAGCCTACAACACCTAACTATAAAACCAAAGAAAAACTTGAAAATCGTCAAAAACACAAAACTACTCAACAAAGGAAAAAATTAAAAAAAAAACAGAAAATGAAAAGCTGAAACAGAAACAAGGAGCCTACAACACCTGCCTAGAAAAACCAACTTGAAAAACCCCAGAAAACCTGAGAAATCCTAAGGAATTTAAGAAAACTAAAAAAGATACTCCTAATCCAAGTTAAATCCAAATTCTAGATTTCTTTAGTCCCGTACAGTTATTTAACTTTACCGAGTGCAAATGAATATAGTTGCTCCATTGCGCTATGAACTTTTGCTCTCAAAAGTCTCGGAGAGCCTACAAGAAAAAATAGTTCAGCACGGAATTTTTTACTGCGTGTGAATGTTTATTGAGTTCTACCTGTTTTCTACGTTCTGACTACTCTTCTCCACGTGCCACTAGCTTGTGTCTTGCTTAAGATGCTGTGGCAGACTTCTAGCAGTAACCACACTATAATGATACAATGGCGCAACAAAGTAGTGGCAAATCGGCATTCAGCACAGTTGGTACTTGGTACTCGGACGCAGACGTCGCATGGCAGAACAGTGGAAACGCTTCCACTGTACTTCCACACAGTGATACACATCGCTATGCAACACCACAACTGATGATGTGACAGCATAATATTCATACAGCATAATACAGTATTCGTGGCTATTGTTTGTACATACGAGTATGCACAGTTTAATACAGATTCAAATAGAAACTAAATATTACAGTACTGTAACTAAAGCCAGAAAGTTTTGGCTTTTGGAAATCTGATCAACCTATTAAGCAAACAGAGAAAACATTGTGGGATTTGGCTCACTGGGAGACCGGAGCGCAGCAGCTTTTCGTCATCTCAAGTTAATGCGCGGACCGGTCATTTCACTACTCTGTCAGAACCTCGTAATTTAACTTGGTAGCATAAATTCACTGTACGAGCCCGTTTACGACTCACATACTACGAGTAGTACAGTGGTACATAGCTCACAGGGCCGTTCCGCGTGCTGTGTATTCAGTACAAATCTTTCGCTTTTACCGAAACCCTGTTGACTGTATCGTATCGCCAATCTGAATTAAATTTCCGCTTACACCGTACAAATGTACATGTCAAATATCGGCTAGCAGTCTGGTCTTTGTGCACATTCGCAATTTACTTTCGTTGCTGGATGTAACGAACAGAGAGTCTTATGCGTTGCATTGGTCTGCAATTGGAAGCCTTCGAGGACCTTAAACCTGACTAATCCCCTTTTTTTTACCGCAACCGCAAATCAGATAATTTTTACACTGGTCCCCCTCGCTTAGCATGGTTTTCGGTTAGAACTTATTTATCTGGATCGAACGCAGCGAGATGTTGCAATAAGCTTTCGTCAACAGGAGAAATTATGTCTGTTGCCACGAAGAGCGTCAGGTTACGTACGCTATTCTAATTCCACACGTTCAATTATTCCAACAATATTTTCCAGTGGTATTGGCGCTCGCTCAGTGGTGTGCTTAACAACCACCGCTAGTATATTAATCTAGCTCCTTACTAAGATAACATCCGCTACGGATGCGGCACGCCGGTCAGCAAGATGTGCACATTCACCGACTTTGGCTGCCGTAAGCCCCGCGTTGATCGTGACTTCCTGAAGGACCCTGCTAGGCAGATCCTGCTCGGCTGAGTTGAGTCTGCCAGCGAACACTGACCACATCCAACGGCACTACCATTTATTGTTCGCGCTTAGTTAATTTCGTTGTAAATAATATTATGCCGGTACTCGCTGGCTACGATCCACAGGTAACCGATATAAATCCTTAACATCGAAATTTCTTTGTAATTAGGTAATGAATTTGTTAACGAATTATGTAATTAATGCTAATATTAATGTTAATGAATTACGCAATAACTGAATCAATGCCTTAGAATTACTTCCTTAGTTCACTGGTCCATTTCTGAATTACAGTGTAATAAAAACCGATCTACGAGTATCTGCAAGATATACAATATTCCCTGCTGTACGAAAGGTAAAGTAAGGGAACTTCGATTCTATCACTATCAAAAAGTGCGCGCATATGCTTGCTTTCAGGTCCATTCAAGCCTAATCGAGCTAGTTGAGAAAATATCAAGACAGTGTATGTAGGTAGTACTAAACTGATAATGAAGTTAAGGTGAATTGTGAACATTACCTGGTAGTGGTACGTTTTGCTTTAACATTGTACAGTGGATCGTGTACTTCTATCCGTACGCTCGTAGCGTAAAAGTACGTACAAGCCTGTACCGTAATTTCTTACGTAAACGCTTTGATGGCACGTACTCAGCGCGACCACTACTTTGTGCACTACATTTATCACAATGATAAATTTGCTCCTCTCAATATGCTAATAATATGTATGCTGATAATATTAAGAGATTTTATCGTTTGTACCGATTTTCATTTTGGCATGTATCAGCCGTGCCAAATTAGTATGAAGTGGAAATAGTGTGACTTGGCGCATAGTATCGAGTTTGACGTAACAATTTGTCGCTGTGATACTGCGTAAGAAATTAAGGGACAAGCCTCCGCTGCACATCTGCCTTTTGTTAATTTATTTCTTGACAATGTCACGACATATATTGTGTAGAAGCCTGTATTTTTTAAAACAACAGGACTCCGTTGAAGTGCAGTTGACTGCGTCAGGATTAGGACCCGGAAATGGTACGCAACGCCCAGGAGAGTATGCGAAACTTCTGCGGATGGCTGAGTTTGTCCGACCCATCTCAGCATTCCCATCATGCCGACGACATCATCAAGGGCAGTTTTGGGTTGACGGCTTCGTCGGCCGTCAAGACGTTGGCCCTCCACGTGCGGGAGATTAACGGCGGCACAGATCGCATACCGCTCGTGTCTACGAAAACAATTCTGCCACTTCCGATTGTTTGTGCAGGAAGTTGTATGCTGACGGCGACGGCGTTCGAACAGGAAATGTTCAGCCGGACTGTCCGGCTATCGCCTCACTAACGCAGACATCCACATTATGGACGCTGTGAGAGACCTGCTGTTTATTAAAGTCCTAAAGATATTAGTCATCATATTACACGCCGAAATATAACCTGAAACGATGTGCCTCGACCGTGGAGCGGTCATAGGAGCTGCATGAACAACACGTCGCAGACGGTAGCCAAAGAAATTCGCCGTGAAACGGTTCGATCCGGCATGGGCAGATCTGATGGCAGGGCCGCGATATTCTCTGTGCGATCGGTCTTCTTTGGGAGAATACGTAACGCCAGTTTCCGGTTCGTGATCGTGGCAGAGATTGACGAGCGTTAATTGCAGGTGCTGAAACGACACATTGTCGCCGGTCGCCGCGTGGACGTTGCTTATTTGAAGAGCGGCGACCGGCTGGCGACGATGCAGGACGAAGTGCTGGTCAAGCAGAACCGCGACAGCCGCGAGATCAGTTGGAGTAGAAAGGTCACGTGGCCAACCTGACGACCTTCGACTTGTCGGCCGTCAACGGCGTCGTCCACGTCATCGACCAAGTGCTCTTCGATCGCCAGACCGAAATCACATCCGCAGCGGCGTTTTTGCTAAACTCACACAGCCTCGTTTCTCTGATGTCTCTCACTGCAATACTGATGACCTTTTACGGGCAAACATGGTGTTGTTGAATCTTTTATTGATGACGCGTCAATGATCTCACTTGTTTTCTTGTAATCGTCATTTTGAGAATACCGTTTACGGTTCTGTTATTTTGGTGAAATGAAAGAGACGCTAAGCATCATATCGAATTTCCCCGTGACTAAGTCGGCTATAAACTTAGTGTTTATATTGTCCTTCGTATTACAGTATATCATTTAAAAGGCGAATCAATCAAACGCTGTTTTTAGTTGGTTGTAGAGCTGTGTTCGTCGACTGATATAATTCCCGAATTTTTCTTACTACGAATGTAATTTCCTCGTATATAATAATAATAATAATAATACTATGTTTAAATGCACAGTCTGAATCTCACCACATGTTAACAATTAGAGGATAAATTAGCCATTCTCTAAACAGAGTACTTCCGGCTTTTGAAATTCTTTCTTAGATAAACGACATTGCCACATGTTTTCACGCTTCGCCTGAAATGCAATTCCGTGATCAATCAAAACAGGCAAAAGGCCTGAACTTACCAGTGTGCTCCAGGATTTTCATTCCGCGTATCTGTACATTAAGTCTGTACAGTGCATGCCGAGTGGTGCCGGTAAAATTAATTGCTTACGGGAAGGCTCGCTTATGCATTTATTCACGGCGGTTCGGCTCATCCGCTGCTCTCATGACACAGCAATGCCGGTAATCAAAACAAGCAAAAAACCTGGACTTTCCAGGGTGCACAGGATTTGCGTTCCGCGTATTCTAACGCTACGTCTGGACATTGCATGCCGTAAAATTAATTGCTTACGGGGATTATGCATTTATTGACGGCAATTCGGCTCATCCGCTCATTCCACTGCTCTCTTGATACAGCATGCCGGTAATCAAAACAAGCAAAAAATCTGGACTTTCCAGGGTGCACCAGGATTTGCGTTCCGCGTATTCGTACACCGCGTCTGTACCCTGCATGCCGAGTGATGCCGGTAAAATTAATTGCTTACGGGAAGGCTTACTTATACATTTATTCACGACGGTTTGGCTCATCCGCTGCTCCTTTGATACAGCGAATGCCGGTAAAATTAATTGCTTACGGCCATTTATTGCACAAAATTTTACACAGTAATAATTTAATCTTCAAGTCGTAATTCATTCTGGTTGCATACCGGTATTTCGAAATCAGATTATAAAAGATATCGGTCAAGATTCTGCCATTCCAGAGCACATATACCGCATTCAGGGCGGAGCGGTGTGAAAATGCAGTATACACCCGTGTTGTGGATTTGTTTTCTGTTACTTTTGTGTGGAATCTCTCTTTGTTCGGAAAGGGAGACACCTCTTTTTCGCTTTGATAATAGTGAACCACTGGCGGGCAATTTTCTCATGGATCTTATCAAACAGATCGTAAAAGCAGTAGTCGCGGAAAAAGAGCAACTCGATGAGCTCGAAAAGAGAGCCAAAAAACAATCCATTACGGATGACATCCGCATACAGCTATCGATCGATCTCGCTATGGTTTGAATAATTGTTTTACTTGTCCGAAGATTATCTGGCCTTCTTAACGCGCAGTATAATAAGTATGGTGTGGCTGGTCATCTTAATAAGCGCCGGGAATCAAACGAAAACTCCGATAACGAATGCTACTATGCTGAAGACGTCGGCGGGCATAAGTTGGCGGGCGACGATGCTGAAGAAGTTATTTGGAAGGCGGTTCTGGGTCATTCAAAGATGTACCCGAGTATTCGCCAGTTGGAAAAGCTGATCATGAAAATCAGTCCAGCTGAGGAATGTGGTGAAACCACTGATTCCGCTGATTCCGATGATTCCGCTGATTCCGCTGATTCCGATGATTCCGCTGATTCCACTTCCCTTCAGCTGGAAACCATACGCCGAAGAAAACCACGCCCGGCTGTAGCAATGAAAAGTAACGACCGGCAACGACGAAAGCCGTCAAGAAAAGATAAGACAGTCACCTATGTCACCATAGGCGAGCTCCCACCTGCACGGATGGACGTTTTCCGTTCGGTAGGACCGGAACACTTGATGTTGTCTCAAGAAGAATTCAATATACTGCGTGATGATCGTTTGGACGAGATCCTGATGGACGCATCGACGTACTTATTACGGAAGCTAGCACATCAAAACCGATTTAATTATAGCGGCCTGATGTATCAGAATCTCATTGTTAATTGGGGACAGCTTCCGATTCCACAGTTCGACAGTGGAACGCACGGGCTGGCGCTGATTCACTTGGAGAATATAGCACACTGGGTTTTGCTGGAAAAACAGCTGGACGATACGGTAGTTGTATACGATTCGTTGCAGGTAACGTACAAAACACGCTAATTCTGAACATGTTCGGTGACCCATTAACTAATTCATTTACAAAATTGCAGGGAACGTTATCGCAGTACACCGAGCAAGTGGTCAATTTAATACGACGTATCTGTCGAAAAGAAGGCGAAGCACTGACTATTAAATTCCCCAACGTTCAACAACAATCGAACTCGGTTGACTGTGGCATTTTTGCCATCGCATTCGCCACAGACATTCTATCATACAATGAGCCAACAAAAATTCAGCTGGACTCTGGAGAACTAAGGAAACACCTGACCGATTGCCTCTTGAACGATTCCATATCCCCATTTCCTCGCGAAGTATCTAATGGCGACGGGAAATTACCGGTATCGTCGGCACATGTTGAACGAACATTTCCGCCACAATTTACTAAGTAGATGTTATGAGTCAACTGTGTAGTATCTTTAGGCTACAGCACTTTGACGGGCCGGAAGTCAATTGATTACATACAGTAGCATTAGACAACTCTAATTTAATTAATGAATTCGAAGCAGAAGTCTAATGACTGCTTCGTAGCGTTAACAGCCAGTTTTTTGCAGTGGACTGTAACGACAACAGTGTTCTGTAGTGCATAATGTGCATTATAGTGTATTAGCCATTAATCATGGACTCATGGTAGACCTCCCAATAATAATTATTATGCTTTCTTGGCGTATCTGTGTCTTAGTGCGTATATGTATTTTGCAAATATTGGTCGACAATGGTCATACCTGCATCATTTTATGCATAGATGCGCATGCTATAACTAAAGGTTTTCAGTGTGTCTTGTTTCTTTTACTGGCCGATTCGTGTTACGTGAGGTTACAATAAAATCCTAAATAAATGCAGCGTCTATCTGGTATTCCCGTAGCACGTGATCTCAGGGCACGGCAGTCGGAGGCCAGCACAGTATGAGCGCCGTATTATATATTTCTATAATGCACATTATAAAATTATTTAAACAGTGCTTATTGTTCATCCGTAATAAAACCTGTATTGCTTATAATAATAATAATTACTAGAAGCTTTCGTACAGAAGTTTACACCTGAATACTGCAGAAAAAATGGCTTTTATTGATTAAAACGCTGGATCCGGCATAAATTATTGATCCAGTTGTGTATTGCTTCTTAACATTTTACACACACACACACACACACAGCCGATCGATCGCCGATCGATCGGCAGTCTGCACGCAGTTGCAGACCGTGTATGGGAATCGTGAATGGGGTAATAACCTACTCATAATACGATAATTGTACAATTCGCATGCCTTCATTGCTTCACTGCAAAGTAAATTGCACCAATACACGTTGCATTAATGATTATTACCATAGACCCAAAGAATATTGCCAACTACGTCTGTCATTTTAAGTAGTTTCTACCTGCGCAAGCTCAACGTGGTCTGAATTGGCCATTGCCGAAAAAAAGGTCACTATGACTGTGTGTGTAAATGTGTGCGCGCGCATCAGTTAGCATTGGCTTGTCAGTGCTATTTTACTTAGTGTAGAAAGTAAAATGTAAAATTAACAGTAAGCCATTTTAACAAAAACCTCTTACGGAACATTTTCCTACGACCTATCTACGGAAACTTCACGTTGCCGCATGGATTGTTTAGAAAAAAATGCGGGAAATAATCTGAAATCTTTTGATTGCTGTACTCTGGGTACAGCTCACTTTTACTCTATAAAATGATTGTTGTATTACAAAATAAATTCTATAAAATAAATAAATGAACAGGTGGAATTAGGCTAACGTCTAGATTTTCTTCCTTTCCTCGTTAGAAAACAGACAGACGCAAAGCTCAGTGCAGTAAGAATCAGTCTGACCTCTCAATTTTACGCTGAATCCTATATTCCTGTAATAATTTAATATATATTGAAGCGTTCAGCGTAACATGTGTGGTTTTGATCAGTGTGGCTGACCACACTGATCAAGGTGTTGAGATGCTGCGGTAAACTGTCGAGTTGATGAAAATGAATTTTAATTGAGTTTTCGCCGGTCTTACGTGACGGCAAATTAATTTGCTAATGTGTGTTAACTTTATGAAGCAAAGTTTGGAGCCAGTGACAGTGGGATTGTGTTTGACCTTTCGTCCTTTCCTAATATCGTGTATTACCACCATCACAGAACAGTCGATTTGGTCTCGAGGGCCGCTATCCAGCAAACCTCGTTGAGAGACTTCAGTGACTTGTTGTATTATAAGTAGACAGAATACGTATGTAATATATTATACAGTCTGTAGTAGGCTGGCCGGTTCCGCCCATGCAGAGCCTACGTGCATTGCAAGCGCTGGTGCACTGTTTCATAGTTAAAATTGAAACATTAAAAAACATTCAAAATCTCTGTCTTCTGTCGGATTAAAAGGTAGTACATGTATTATCAGAACAGCCGTATCATTTCCTTTACAATTAGCTGTTTCCGCTTATGGATTGAGTAAAAAGTAAGTAAGCCATGAAATCTAAAAGTAAAAATCAAGTAAAACTAAAGACAGGGAGACTGCGGTAAGTAATTAAGCACTAAGTAAAAGCGACACACATCGGCGTATGGAGGTACATTCGAGATACCATTTATTATTGCGCTTAATAAAATAACTAAATGTCGAATCGTTCGGAGTACAGTATAGGCTTGCTAGATGCCAGCGTTCTCTTGACGGCGTTGACCTCCGCGCGTTTAAACTTTTGAAATTTTATTTCACTAATAACTCTCGAACCGGATGTTGCGCGCACAAACGATTTTTTTTTCGCCTATCCCAATCCTTCGGCTACCAAATGTCATAAAGCAATGCAAAAAAGGTGTTTAGGAGTGGGCGACAGTGAAAGTTCCCGTGTATGTACCCGAATTCGGTACTATGTACCAGGCCAAATCCCTTAAGCTCCTGTAACGTGGTATGCATGCTGCGGTGAAACAATCATGTGCCCCCAGAACGGTCTGCAACGCTCGACAGTCTTCATCGGCCATCGGTTGACATGCCGCTTCCAACACCTGTAATGCTGATCGCATTTCTTCGACGGTACACAGGAAAATTTACTGTGTACCGTCCATCTCACGATGTTTATCTGAAGCGCAAGTCATAGGAGCCATGGTACGTCCGCGAACAACGACACGCTTCGACATCCAGATAGACTGGCCGGTATACGCGCACATCGTCTACTCGTAGCACTAACCGATCACAGACTTTGCGCCTTTTCGAACGAAAGCTTAGGGTAAGCGCGGACGAAAACGCCAGCACATCTTGAGTCCACACATCAAATGGCCGATACAGATGGTTTGTAGACGAATTACTCTCACTTTCAGCAGACCAATCAGCGTGGGGATGGGATCCCTGGTCGTCCTACGTTGTACTGAAGGGAATCAGTTTGTAGTTGTCGCGGTGAGGTTCCGGTCCAGTGCGCGGGATAGCTTGTGTCGGTATAGTTCCACAGCGAATCGGTTTGCGCTCAGGTAGACGCTGGGGCGAATGTTAGTACGCTGAGCCAGGATCTGCACACTAGGCGGCACTTAAACCGAACGCGTAATGCCAGGAAAAAAACATTCTGCCGATTAGTCCACTGGCAAAACGTTACTAATACAGCATAATCGAGCTTTCGAGCTGCGACATCAGCGGACCGCAACGATCTCGACGTAAAAACCGGTTCTGCATCTGACGGGACGCCGACCTCTTGGCCATCCTTCGGAACACTTTAGCCTAGACCAGAAGGCAGTCAACATGACGCTTTCTATATCGTACACCGGCAGTATACTTATTCGGCCTCGTAAGTCGTGACCAGGGTAATCAAAATCAATAAGGAAGCCATTATCCGGAATTAAAACCATAACGAGACCATGGCGGAACGCCACGTCGTCGTCCCGCATGTCAACCGCCCCATAGCACTAGACTTCATTTTTTTCAAGCATATATGAATATTGTCTTCAGTTAGAACTTAACAAAAGCCGCACAATCAGGACACATCACGTGGGATCCCTGAAAGCTGTGCGTAAAACTAGATGGGATGGGTATTATAATACGGTGGCTGAAACCATCTAAAAAAATTGTGGCAATACAGGCAGGATGCTACTGAATTGTTGTGAAAAGTGGATTTTTAAAAAGGAATATCAACAATACGGGATTATACACCGTATGAACGAAGGAGATGGTGCAACATATACGTAATAATTATGCAGTTAAAAAGCAGTTTAGGCGAAGCATCACAAGATGATTCGACCCTGAACCCCCACTATCAGTTCATCGATGTAGGCAGCACAAAAATCGATAAGAATATTCACGTTTACGGATCCACAGCAGTCAGCTCGCAGCAGCTGCCGAACGCGCACAGAGGTATCATCGCTGGTATGGCACACACTGTGCTGTACTGAACGGACTGAAAATATACTCACTGTAGTCAGTAGTAGTGGTATTAGTAGTACGGTATTATACAGTACATTAAAGGCTTAAAAAAAATGGCGCGACACATAGCGTCAAAATGTGATACATACACTAAAACTTTCGCTTTCGCGCACTCCGAATCACTTTTTTTTAATATTCGATATCATTCTAAAGCTAAATGATTTGTATACATTGTTCTGAAAACCGTTTGCGCGCGCAACATCCGGTTGCCGAGATATGGCGTACTAAAATGGGTGAAAATTTTAAATGCACTGTTGTGCACCAAAAGTCTGGTTATTACCCGATCTTCTTGAAACTTTGCTGCAAAAGACACCTGGCTATAAAGTCGGGAGTGAACTAATTTCAGGTTCATAGCATCTTCCAATAATTTCAAAACGAATTTTAAAATTTTTTGAAATTCATTTTAAAATCGGAAGAAAAATGCTATGGATCTGTCATTGGTTCACTTTCGGCTTTATGCATGGTCAGGTGTCTTTTGCAGCAAAGTTTCAAGAAGATCGAGTAATAACCAGACTCTTGGTGCACAACAATACATTTAAACGTCTCACCGATTTTAACGCCATATCTCAGCAACCGGATGTTGCGCGCGCAAACGGTTTTCAGAACAATGTATACAATTCTTTAGCTTTAGTATGCTATAAAGTATTACAAAAAGTGATTCGGAGTGCGCGAAAGCGAAAGTTTTAGCTTATGTTTCCCATGTAGGAAAAATAATAAAACCAAAATTACGTTAACCTGCCCACAGCCTGGTGGTAGTACGTCTGGCTTTAAGACTGTATGTCCAGGGTTCCATTCCTAGGTTGGGTAAGTTTTACCTCATAAAATCAAACGAAAAAAGTATGAAATTTTCAAAATGTACCAAAAAAATTTTCCATTAGCCTGGTAAGATATGTAGGAATAAAAAATAATAATAATGGTTTCTGGCACCATGTACCTTGCCATTTCCCTTAATTGTATAGGCTTTTCAGTCAGTGCAGCTCGTCTACAATTTCACACGAAAGCTGTTGCGGGATGGGCCAAACTTAATTTTGGCACGATATCAGCGAGCACCATTGCAAACTTATACGTACAGCCTAATTTTTGAGAAATGTTTTTGGTATAGCTGCATACTATACACAGAATATTGTATTTTGATGTTCTTCCTTCTGTTACAGTTTCCTGCACAACAATAGAATTCCAGTTGATAGAATTTCTCCCAGAACAGTAAAATTACCACACGAGTTGCTATTAATTATGGTATTTATTGAAGAAGTACCTCCGTAAGTGCACGGCATGTGGGATCTATATTGTTAAAGTCACAGAACATATTCATAAATCTATTTATACCATCATTAGAGAAAGTACCCTCATAACTCAACAACCAAATGTTGCGCCCGAAAACGGATTTCACGCCTATGTATACAAATCAATTTGCCACACAATAATATAAAAAAGAAACACAAAAAAGTGTTTGGAAGTGAGCGGAAGCGAATATTCGCGTCAATGTACAGCAATTTAGGGCTATGTACCGGGCGATCGATCGGTCCATAATGAGACTTTTGGTACACCTGAATGCATTTAAACTTTCTGGAATTTTGTAACCCTGATAACTCAGCAACCGGAAGTTGCGCGCGAAAACGGTTTTCACGCCTACGTACACAAATGCTTTGCCAACCAAATACCATAAAGCAATGCAAAAAAGTGTTTGAATGTGCGCGAAGCGAAAGTTCCCGTGAATGTACACGTTTTTGGATGTACCAGGCCAAGCGCGTTAAGTGTGAATAGTGGCGTTAAAGGTCTTTAGCAGAGCATAAACAGACTAATGTACTTACGGTTATAGCGGCTGAGTTTATTTACGCCGTTTGGACTGGCACCGTTTTTTCGGCATTTGATATTACCAACTCGCTTTTTCTGATGCCTGGTGTAGTTATACCGTCGCAGACGGTCAAGGAAATTAGTAATCGTACGCGAGAGAGGAACGGTAAGCGCCGGGATAGTGTTGTGGTTGCGACAAACAACGGGAAAGTGCCGGTGTTCGTTGCGGTGTACAATTAACGGCGAAAACAGCTGGTAAATAAACAGCAGTACTGACGCGACCCAGCGCCGTGATGCGACAGTTGAAATAGCAAGTAATGCAAAGTAGGCCCTAAACAGTACGTGCCGTGGTGCACCGGCACGTAAGTCCATATTAAAGTGCCGATTAATAAATTAGTTGTAGGTTTGAATGACATAGTGCGGATAAAACAGCGGTGCAGTGACGCTATAGCCAGAGAAATTCCTGTATCTCATTACAGATTACAGCGTCCCTGCCGGTCTTGGCAAAGACGCAGTTGGCCGGTCGGCAGCGGCACACCGCGCTGCCGCGACGGCTTGTCAGACGGAACCCTGTGCTGTTCAATGTGCAGAAATCGGCTTTATTCCGTTTTCACGAAAAGCAATCTACGGAATTATTACTTATGCTATTTTCAGATATTACATAGCTAAATTTGGGTACAGAGAACAGAGGAGAGTAGAGAACACAGTAGAACCTTTTCGTGTGGTTCAAATGATTTGAACCACACGAAAAGGTTCTTAGGCAGAAAACTAAAAAAATTTCATAAATCATAAGTAGGAACACTTATCAATCATCCAGAAATGGGCAGAAGGCAGCCTTCAGCGCCAAGCATCCGGTGCCTATAGGACATGGAGGTAGGCCGTCTGCCTCAGCCAGACTTCCCTCTGGTGATCCGGCTGCACCCAGCACTCCACCCGCGCCGGAACTAACGCCTCCAACTGGATATTGGGAATTACCAGCGTGCTGGTGAAATTGTCGCCAGCGGCGTTATTATACAACACGCTGAATTCCGCCAGTGTGTCTCCGGGCATCCTGTCCCGGCGCCACGGTGGGACATGTTTGGCTGCGGGACGTCGCGGTGGAGGCGTGGTCACCGGTCCAACGAAGGGGTGCAGCGCGTGGAATTCGGGCGCCTCCAGCCACTGCTCGTTGAAGCGCCAGATGAAGCCCATCTGAACGTGAACGTATCGGTTGGAAATGTCAAGCTGGTGGCGCACCGGAAGCGCGCCTCCCCGAAGCGGACGACCGTGACGTTGTGCATGAGTGGCGCCAGGAAGAGTTCGCTGGCGGTAGGCGTGACGTGGAAGCGGAAGTACTGCAGTGGACAGAATTTATACACGGGGTCGGCTTCGCATTCCTGCAGGCAGGCCACCAGGCCGCGTGATGCCCAGCTGACGTTGCGGATGGTCAGCGTGGCGGAGGCGGCCGTCCAGTCGACGCTTTGCTGGATATCGGCGGAGGCCGTGTAATTGTAGCGCAGTCCGTCGCTGCTGAGTGCCGCCAACATTTTGTGGTTGTGCACCCACATGACGGTTGTCTCGTTGGCGTTGCTCCCGTTTGCGTTGGGGAGGATCCGCAGGGGCCGGTAGTGGAAGGTCGCCGCACCGCCGGAACTGGCCCTCACCACCGGCAGGCTCTCCAGGGTGACCTGAGATCGCAGCGCGGCGGGAATTGGCAGATGGATCCTTCCGTCGATCGGCTGGCGAGCCGCCTCGCTCATCACCGCGTCCACTACAGGCAATGCAACCAGTGTTTCGTAAGAAAAAGCTTGCTATGAGCATTTATGGGGTCAGTTTTACGTTTACCGTAACTAAGGCATCATAACTAAGTTTCATATTATTTATGAATTTCCTTGGCCAAAAGCGGGCGAAAGAGTTTTTTAAACAGCATTTTTTTATCTATGCAAATACACCGGGCAAACGCGATTTGTGTAATGGGTTCGATCCCCGATCAGGATAGCATAGAGAAAGTGTTTCTTTTGTAAATGCTGTTTTGTTCTAGTGCTTAGTTTGTAGTCGTACCATGAAACTTATTAAAGGTATTGTTTCATCTTTTTTATCTACCGCTATAAACACATTCCGTTGAAATTGCCCATATTCCTGCACATATGCACGTCCTGCAGGATGTAACCAATTTTTTTTTTATTTAAAATAACCACTCAGTAGTTATTTTAAATTATAAAACATTTTGTTTCTACCTGATTTAACCTTCTTAGTTGTTCATAGCAGTTACTACTATGATACTAACAGTAATTGAGAAGAATTGTCAAAAATGTCACTGAAAATTTCTAGTGTTCATTCTCGTGGTCTACTTGGATGGTTGTTATCATTTTTTTTCTTTATGCCTGTTTGCTTTTCGAGATGCGCAAAATGATGTCAAGTTTAGATTTCCACCCTCTCGTAATATGAATCATCAAAACAATAAAATAACCTATTCATATGTTATTAAAAAAAACACGAACTGTTACTGGCTATAGGTGCAAAAAACCTGAAGCTTAGCGCCATAGTAAAATGATGCCCCAGAAGCATGCCAGCTGGAATGCGATTATTAAGCGCTTCGAAAACGTTTGCCACTGTTCAGGTTGGAAAAGGATGCGAGGTCACGGATCAGCTTTGCATACGATTACCGGAAGCGAGAAACATCCGTTGGCTGTGCGGCCAGATCGTAGATCTAATTTATTAGAGCCTCCCGTATATACGAACAATGGAAGGACGAAAACTAAAGTTAGGATTAGCAATACCTTGGTCAGCTTCCAAGCAAGGTCCAAGCAGCTTCCAAGCAAGCAAGTTACGATTAGAAATAGCTTGGTCAGCTTCAGCTTGGCAAGCTGGTCAGAACAAATAGCCACAACACCGCCAACCGTGCAGACAACATTTATCAGCTTAAAAAAAAAGTGAAGCATTTTCGATAATAGAAGACACGAACGATTTCCTGTTGGTGGTGTATCTTAAAGTTTTTCTTTGGCTCGCGTCTACTATGTACGACATTTGGCCTAAATTCTTTAGGGAAAGACTCCGCACACCGCCTTTCACCACCACCAAGCTCCGCACACCACTTTCCAATATTTTCTAATTTTTTTACAAAAACCACTCTCATCTCCGACACCACACCTAGGTCAGGGTGCATGCCAACGAGAAGCTGTGGACAGCGCTGTTTTGAAAAAAAATTACTCTAGGTAATTGTTATTATGGGCGGAAAAAAGACAGCTCTTTCGCCTCGCGGCGTGGTTCTTTTTTGTACCACTCGCAGAACCGCCTGTTCCGCCTCCGCTTCCGTTATAGTTAGCGAATTTTTTGGTTTTACTAGCTTAGCTTCGAATAATGTTATATACCAACTCTCCCAAAGTTTTTTCGGCAGCTCATGCGCACACGCTAAAGTGTAAAGGGCACAGTAATTCAAGTAAAACACTACTTCGTGTAGGCACACAATAATACCAGTATAGCTTATATTAGTCGTACAGATATATAAAACTGACCATTGTACACTGTATTTCTTCGAAACTAGGATTGTAAGATGGTGTCTGAAACTGCCTGTAGTTTTATGCAGATGTACATGTTTTAGATACGTTTTTATATGTTTTATATACATGTGCATAGCGGTGTCGCAAAAATGGTGGCCCGAGACAAAACGTGGTGCGAACAGTGATGCGCAGAACCTGGTGGTGCGCAGAGCTTTCTCCAATTTAATGCGTTACAGTAGCAAAGATCTTGCATTCATAATAGCGAAAGGCTCGTAAAAGGCAAATGATGGTCTTGTGCAAGAAACGTTTTCTTAAATCTCTGAGCTTTTCAAAGTGTTCTGCCATTACGTCAAGATCACTTACAGTACGTCACCATATATCCAGTTTGTAAGTGGACATTTTAAAGATATCGACCAAAACACAATCGGTGTGGAAATGATAAACAAAAAATGACCATGGAAATGGTCCGTGTAAGCCACTCGGTTGTAGTACAGTATATCCTTTAATCACTGAAGGTTTTGATTGTTTTTTCGCTGGATAGTTTATATAATGGCTCATCCAGCAAAAAAATGTGCCAGTTGTTCACTAATTCAAATGGAATTAAGGGAAAATTGGAAAATATATTTACAGAGTAATTCGTTGTAGCTGATAGACATCGGCTACAGTTATGGAGTTATCAACATCAACATGAGCAGGTGTAAAACAGAGACAAACAAAACAAAACAATAATCTTGATCATAATTAAATAATCAAAGTAATCAACTTGAATCAAGTAACTCTTAGGCCTCCTGGCCTCGCGCAGTTAATCAGCGCCCAATTAAGAACGACTGAGCGTTTTCCTTCACTGTGATGGCTCGGGGTTGTTCCTGGTCACGTTCGGTTTCTTTGCGCCAAGGAAACAGTATCAGTAAAGTCCTGAATTTATTTTCGGCGTCCTTGCATGGCAGGAGGCATAGCAAGGCCTTAAATGTGCACAGACCATAGATGCAGTGGCACGCTTTGACCGTGTGGTTGGTTTGTCAATGGAACCGTTGGACTTTGGTTGCTGTGCTCTTATGGTGAAGTGCTCTTTGAGCCGCAAGATCTGATAAACCCTTGATAGATGCGCTATCATTCAGAAGCAGAGCCGTAAAGGTGTATGCATACTTACTGCACCTTGACAACGGCGTCGTATAATGGTCTTTGCCGAGCGAAGCGAATGAACGACAGATGTTGCCTTAGTTCTAAGTTTCAGATATAAGGTTCCAAGGTTCTAAGTTTCTGATATGCCGTGCCTAAATTACTCTACTTTCAGTACTACTGATTCTCGTGTTATACGCAATTACATTTCGAGTCATTTTTACTACTTTATACTTTATACTAGTTGCAGGCTTGTGTTTTTTCTAGTTGGATATTGCCGAATACGGCAAATATACTCACACTTATACTAAAATAAAATTAATTTTGTATCTGTTACGTTATAAACTCCACTAGCGTTATGTGCTGCCCCAGGCACTGTACGTAGCTAAGTCTAACGTAGAAATCCCGATGTGGATTTTGAGACTTTATTTACGAAACACAGTTCCAGTGACTGCTAGATGACTTCCAGTGGACTAAACCAGAGTAAACCCTCTAGCTTCTGCAAGCTTGGCGCTTATATAGCCAAATTCGGGTAAACATCCACATTAAGAAACTTCTAGAAACTTAGATCACTCAATAACAACATTAAAACGACATTACAAGAGATACAGAGAAGACTGGAAATCTGTCAATTCAGGTCTTATCAACTTATGCCCAAATATAGAACTAACTGATATTCTCTCAGTTCTCTTTGTGGCTAATGATCTTGTTTACGCCAGGGCCGCCAGGCTGTATCTTAATATAGCTCGCATGGGGCTGTGCGGCTGGTCACAATAAAATTAATTTTGTATCACGAACATAATGTAAGAAAACGAACGGGTTCACAAGAAACGCATTTTACTTTTGCTTCGGCATGGCTAAATCGTACAGCTACGACCAAGTTTTGGAACTTACTGAATCTCAGTAAGTACATATTCAGTAAGTACATGGATGCGGTACCGACTCACAGTGCAAAAATTTGGGATCGCAGTTCTGATGTCCACATCCATTTTCATTGTATACTGGGCAGGCCAAAATATAAGAACAACTGGTCGATATCCAGATTATCGCTACCAAGTGCAGGTTAAGCGTTAACACTTTTAGGCCTTCAAGCAAGTGGCTAGCGCAGAAGTTCAGACTGGACTTGGATTTAGATTACTCAGGTTGTGCTTCGGATTTCTCAACATGGACGTGTTACCTAAGCCTCTTAGTTTCTCATGATTTTTTAGGTTTCTCAGGTTTTCTCAGCATTCTTAAGTTTTTAATTTTTCCTTGGGTTTCTAAGGTTTTTTTAAATTCGATTTGTTTCGTTTTTTTCACATTTTCTCATAGGGTTTCTTAGTGACTCGGTTGGGGAATTGGTTGAAAAAGTTTCTTCCTTTTATCCTTTCTACTATTTTACGCTATAATCAGCTTAGGAACGGTCTTTAACGCAACCTGAGGGAACGAAGAAGAACTTGGAAACCCGAAAAAGGAAAAAGCTTTGGAACTAAAAAAAACCCATGAAGCCAATGAAAGCATGCCTGCATTATCTTGGAAAACATAAGAAAGCCTACGAAAACCTAAGGAAAACTAAAACTAACTAAACCAAGAAACTTAGTTCACAAATCCATGTTAAGGGAAGTGGCCCGGTACATGGTACCAAATTCGTGTACATCCACGGAAACTTTCATTCTCGCGCACTCCCAAACACATTTTTGTTTCGTTTTATGGCATTCTGTAGCCAGATGATTTCTATACACTGGTGTGAAAACCGTTTGTGCGCGCAACATCCGGTTCGGGAGTTATGGCTGTAAGAAATTCCCAAAAGTTTAAATGCTTTCAGGTGTACCAAAAGTCTCATTATGGACCGATCTCCTTCAAATTTTGCCTGTAAATGCGCATGGCCATGAGGATCGTTTTTACACCGATCCAGACTTCCACGATTTTTTTCAAATTTTAAAATAAATTTCAAAATTTCTGAAATTCATTTTAAAATTTGAAAAACATGCTAGAACAGTGGATCGGTGTAAAAACGTTCTTCGTGGTTATGTGCATTTACATGCAAAATCTGAAAGAGATCGGTCCATAATGAGACTTTTGGTACACCTGATTGCATTTAAACTTTTTGGAATTTTCTAACAGCCATAACTCGCGAACCGGATATTGCGCGCGCAAACGGTTTTCAGGCCTGTGTATATAAATCATTTGACTACAGATTGACATAAAACAAGAGAAAAAGGGTTTGGGAGTGACGCGAAAGTGAAAGATTTCGGGCATGTACACGAATTTGGTACCATGTACCGGGCCACTTCCCTTAAGTGATCCAAGTCCAAGTGGAGTAATCCAAATTCAAAGAAATCCACATCATATTTTAGGAATCAGAATCAAATCCAGCTTGAACTTCGCCGCGTGCCCAAGCAAGGCTCCAGGCTCGTCAAACAGCAGGGAATGCATAATGCAGCGGCTGCTGTGTCTCACCTGCCACCCGTGCAGTTAGTTAACCTTACCGAGTGCAAATGGATACAGTTGCTCCATTTGCGCTCTTTAGAGAGTTTCGCTCTCCAAAGATCAATCGAATAACCTAAAGAAAAAAAATTAAAAAATTTAACGCAAAAAGTTTCTAGTGCGTGTGAAATGTGAATGCTTAAAGAGTTTAACCTTTTCGCTGCGCTCTACCTAGTCTTGTCCTCATGCGGCCAATAGCTAATTTGTTTGAGACGCTGTGACAAACTTTAACAGTAAAATAGTTTATAATGATACGGTGACGTAGCAAAGTGGTGACACATTTGCAGCAGCTATTGGCAAAACACAGCTGGTATTTGGCACTCTGGCGCAGACTTTACAGAATATTGCTTCCAGACAGAGTTGCGCATCGCTATGCAACATCGCTAATGATTATGTGGCATCATTCTAGCTACGCAAATTATTAAATGCAATAGAAAATAGATCAGCTAAACCTTCAAAGTTTCGTAGAAATTTAATCAACCCTATCAAGTAAAAGGAAAACTTGATGGAATATTGGGAGACCGGAGCGCAGCAGCTTTTTATCGTTTCAAATTAATGTACGCGGACATGTAATGCAAGTACTCAGTAGGCACTCATTAAGTATTCACTCAGTACGTACAGTAGTTAATTAAACTAGTAATATAAATAAGTACACTGTATAAGGCTGAGTGAGCCTGTTGACGATTCACATTAACATTCATGGTAAATGGCTGACATGGCTGGTTTCCGTACCGCTTTACAAAGTGCCTGCCAAATACTATATAAGTCAGCAGTCAATTCCAGCCAAGTAAAGTATCAACTGTACTGTACATCTGGAATTTGCTTTCGTTACTGGATGTATCGAATAAAGATTGAGAGACTTGGCCCGGTACATAGCGCCAAATTCGTGTATATCTACGGGAACCTTCGCTGCCGCGCACTCCCAAACACTTCTTGCATTGCCTAGTGGTATTTTTTAGCCACAAGATTGGTGTACTTAAGTGTGAAATCCGTTTGCGCGCGCAACATCCGGTTGCGGAGTTATGAGGGTAACAATATTCCAAAAAGTTTAAATGCATTCCGGTGTGTCAGAAGTTTCATTATGGACCGATCTAATTCAGTTTCATTATGGAGCCCCAAATCGAATTTCCCACTGGTCTGCTTCGCTTAGCATGGCTTATGACTCTACCAGTCCACCTTATTATACTAGTATCGCTTCTTACTAAGATACGTATCTGCATAATGTGATGCTATCAGTGTAAAAGGTTTTCGTCTATCAGTTTCTGCTATCGTCCAGAATGACTCGTGCTGCACATGGTGTACTGCTTATCGCACACTCAGAATTCAGAACTGGTACAGGCAAGTGACTAACGCACATGCCCGGCTGTGTTCGCATTTTATGAGTGTGTTCGATGTGAAAAGAAGTACGAGGCTTCACAATTCACATTAGCTATCTGGACCGGTCGAACATGGGTCAAAGGTCACATGAATTAGCTGTGCATGAGTCAAGAAAGAATGCATGTTTTGAAAAAGGGCTGCAAAGTACAGCTTTAATGGTCGGTGGGTTTGAGAGGATTTGAATAATTCATATCCACAGACCATTAAAGCTGTATTTTGCAACCCTCTTTTAAAACACGCATTTTCTTTCGTGACTCTTTCTTATTAACTTTTTATTCGGTCATACAAATGAGCACTGATTGCACTTTCTTATGAATTTTGTTTATTTTTTACAGCACGCAGAGCGACAGTTGTCCCATGACAAACTGCTGGCATAAGAACACAGGATGATTTATGCTGGCCGTTGGCGCACCAAAATTTTTGCTGCACCAAAAATCTATCTTTCGAAGCATCCCTCTGTTATACTGTAAGATCAGCCACAACCTGCTGAATCTAAAATGGCTTACGGATGACGTCAAGAGACTCAAGACTAAAAGTCGCCACCATCAGTCAGCTAGCTGTGCTCCTTCAAGTAGCGACACTGCATCAAAACGGTGTGCCCAGTGTCCGGCATTATATATACGGTGGTATCATCACTATCGTGGATGGTGACGTAGCAGTGCATACGTGGTGGTGGTTTGGCGCATGCGACGCGCCTATCCTCCTCCGTAATTCCTTTACCAGCCAGACATGCTCCTTCTCCGACCAACATCAGTTGCTGCAAGCCCTGCGTCGAGCGGGGCTTCGTCACCGGCCACTGCAACGCCAAATAGGTATATACCTACCCGGCCAAGGTCAGCCTGCCAGTGGACACTGGCCAAATCATGGGGGACATCGGCATTCACTTTCACACGGTCGGTTAATGTCTTTTTTATTATACCGGCACCTGCTAACTGCAATAAACATTAATGTTTTTTTCCAGAACCTTTA